CCGCGCAAATGATGTCATACACACTCCGCTTTGTTTTAAAAAATATAAATATATAAAATATAACCGCGGATGTCCGAGGGACAGTGATTCGCCTACATGTTATGAATGCTGGCGTACCATAAATTATAAATTGTGAACAGTTTAGTTTGTGCCTTCAACTCGTTGCCCAAAGGAAGACGTTACTTGGATATAACAAAACCGAATATCTTCAGAACAGCTCCAAACGACACACAACTTATATGGGTGAGTAGAACATGATGTAATAACGTAAAATTAAGGGGCCAATGTAAAAAAAACTGTGTTCCCCTTTAAATTAAAAGGTAGTTTAGTTTTAATATCTAAAGTTGTAATTTAGAATTTCATTAAATTTCATTAAAAAAAAAGTGCAAAATACTTTTATCTGATAGATTGACCATCAATAAAACCGTTACCTAAGAGCAACTGTGGTTCTAACAATTAATCAGCTTGTGTCGAATGATGCTCTGGCATTTAATCACGAAATGAAACATTTAGTCACATTTGGCGATAGGCGAGTGTTAATTTTGGACCCTGGTTGTTTACATTATAAAAGGGAAAGACTACCCAAGTCTTAAATCATTCGAAATCTCCAGTAACCCGCCTCTCTGTCTCTCTGAAAAGAGCATTCCCATAACATGACACCACCACTACCTTTTATTCTTAATGGGAATACTACCTACAGAATAATGTCTAACATTAGTTATCCACCACATATTTTGCAAGCAGGCCTAAATGTTGTTCTGTTAGACAAGAGCTTTTGCTTCACATGTTTGCTATTTTATATTTTCCAGGAGCAGAAAAAATGACTACCTATAGCTTTCGTTTATAATGGATTTCCTTTTGCCATTCTCTCATAAAAGCTTTATTTTAAATGAATGACTAACCATAGTCTTGTCAAAAGATTCCTTATCATCTCATTCTATATGTTAATTCCTGACCTGTCTGCTGTGTTTTTTGGTCTTCATATAGCTGTTTGTTCGCCAATGTCTCCAACAAGCCTCTGAAGCACTTAAGACGGCTATATTATGCTAAGATGTATACAGGTTACATTTGGTTGCAGTGGATTGTGTTTATGCATCAGAGTTTTATTGTGGTAGAGTAAATAGGGATGGATTTAAAAGCAAGCCTTTCTTTTTATAATTGAATCATGACATAAATTGAAAAGCAATATTCTCTTTCCTTTCTGCTTCATTTTGTTGGTATGACTCTAAAAACACCATTCGATTGCAGTATAGTTTGTTGTTGTTAAATGTGACAAAATGTAAAAAAAATGCAAGGGTATGAATACATTTGCAAGGTGGAGGAGCTTAGATCTTTTACCTTTATGTTTTTGATCTGCAGGCTGCCCAGCTCCTGCAGTGACATCCGGGGGTCCTTTCCCAACAGACTGACCCCATCCTTCAGCCAGCTGATAGAGGGGATGGGGTCTCCAGATGCCTGGCACTTAAGCAGCGCGACACTGTCCACCCCAAGCGTCTGATTGGAGGGGCCTTGGCGGATAATAGGTGGGGGTCTGTCTGTGAGTACTAAACCAATAAGGAATACAAAGAAAGCATAAATATCACTTTAGAATGAACAGCACAAGGCTTTTCATGTAAGATGGGTAAATTACAAATTAACTAATTCACAGCATTTTTCGTGTTACATTCTTGGGAGTTTAATGTGGATATCTGTCATAGAGTGGACTTTTATTTTATTTATCTTTTTACACACAATGAGCATATCCTGTATTTCCTGTAATTGTGGAACATAAAGCTGAGTTGGGTTTCCTAAGCTCTTTGATGTGGGAGAGAAACTACATCAGTTTCCACTTATTCCCTGGATAGTCTTATTTTTATACACCACCCTAGATTCTGTGGTACATTCGGGCAGAGAGACTCGCCTTATTGAATCAGTGTGGGACGGATAAATACTTCATCATGTTCAACATGGGGCGCGAGAAAGTTGAGTTTAAATAAGAAATGTTCCTTTATTAACTTAAATGGATGTTATTTGTTTGTTTGTTTTTCCCGATAAACCAAAAAAAATGTGCATACTTGTGAGGTGAAAGTAAAAGAAGTTTGGTGTAAAATATACTACCATTAAATGTGTGTAAAGTGTGTATCTATATTGAGTTAATCTTCTCTAGAAGCGCCTTCTGCTGCACATTCGGTTGCAGGTTATTAGGGCTATATCTCTCAATTGAACATTTTAACCATTAGTTGCATAATTACTCAGTCACAGTCAGTTTGGCTGAAGAATGAATGTGAACATCGATTTTCAGGACTTTGCAGATTCTAAATTAGATTAAGGTTTGGAAAGCTCACCTTTAATGCTGAAAAAAAGCATCCTTACAGAATTATACTGAGCACTGAACCTTTATCTATCTTACCATTAAATCTCACCAGTTTCAGTGAACCTGCTGAAGAACCGCATCCTCAGAGCATATTATCATCCCCACCTTATTTCACCATGGTATTGGTGTACTCATAGTCTTTTTCTTGTAGTCCAAAATGTTCAATGTGAGGTTTAAACTGAGCAGATGCCCTCCGTTCACATGTTTCTTACCTTTTTTTCCCCCATAAAGACTACATTTAGAGCAAAATTAGAACAAAATTAACATTTCCCTGTCAATCAAGTCTATCACTGAACTGTTGAACAACATTCTTACACTATCCTTTGGACAATTTTTGTTCCATTTCACTCTAGGTGAATGCTTTGAGCTCAATTTATAAAAGAAATTTAATTAGCTTAAATTGCTAAAAGAAAAAAAAAAGCCTCTGGGTCACTTTGATGAAATAGTGAAGATCTCCAACAGAATTTCCACAAAAGCACGGAGACCGTTTATAATTTAGACTTGAATAATGTGGAGTCCCCATGGCATCAGAGAACCTACATTAATTAGAAAGTATGGATTAATGATGTCAGACCTGCAGGGGCTAATTACCAAGTCTACCTCACTAACCTTTGAACACGCTATCACACCTTCACTTCCAAACCTTATTTTCTCTTTCACACTTCCACCTGACAAAAGGAAGTGATTCAAGTTAATTCACTTTTGTGCAGTTACAGTCAGCCTCTGGCTCGGGGTCAGCTGAGACATTAGGTGGAACAAATGTGCAGAAGCTAGATAGATTATCCATCAAGAGCCAAATGTGGCACTTTAATTTAAAATATTTTGTTTTAAGGGCAAATCTAATTACAAGAATCAGAGGCTGTAGAGCACATGTAAGCACAATCTAATGAACAGCAACTGTCTTGTTCTTTGAATTATTTGTAAAAAAAGAAAGCATGATTTCCTAATGAAACAAAGATCGATTTGTCCTCAGATGAATAACAAAATTATTTCATTTTCTCCTAAACCCTCCGGCTTTTCTTACAGGATGGTAGTTTCAAGACTCTAGTGTACCGTCTGCCTTAAATGAGTGAAGACAGCACTCTACAGTTCAACTGGTTTAACAGAAGCAAATCTAAAAACAGACATCCATGCTTTGTCAGGAAATGTGACCCATGTGTGGATGGCATGCAGGGGTGACAAAAGGAGGAGGCAAAGCTCAACTTGGCCTTGGGTCTCTGGATCAGGAATTTCTCATTACAGATATCCTTGAACTCAGCAGACTGTTGGCAGGACACAGGGCAGTAAATCACACAAAGACTGCGGCAGGTGCGGCCGTGACCTTACCCTGGCCCTTTTCTAGTTCGTCCGCCTTTCTCTGATTTTACATTAGACCTGCTTCACCATTTTTGTTAACAAGTTTTTAGAGAAAAAATGCTAAGCTTTTTCCCTCATAAAAAAGCTAAATATAAGAGAAATATAAAATGAAATGTTTGCATTCAATAAAAGAAAAATTGACCTCTAGTAGAATGATAAAAAATGTAATGAGTATTTGTCATTTGTCATAGCAACACACAAAACATTCAAGCAAAATACAAAGAAAACATATTTGCCCTTACCAGCAAAATTAAACATTCATGGCAAAAAAAAAGACAACGCCTTCCCTAATGAGGAAAGAGCCAAATAAAGTCTTTCATAAGTAGGGAAAATCAGAAAACTGAAAAGATAGGATATAAAAATTCAATGGGAAAATAAAATAATCAATGTACTTTTAAAACAAATTAAATCATGCAAACATTTGAAAGCGAAATAAAATTGCATTCCTACTAACATATATTGAAACTGCATTGGAGAGTAACCTGATGACTATCGACATCACTAGAACTGCCCGCCTAAGTACAGTATGACAGGAGGAAGAATTTACAGAGCAAATTGGGATTGGGTTGGTCTACAATAATAAAAAAAAACACTTAAGGGAGGTTGTCATCTGGCCTGCTGCCACTCATGGTAGTATGGATGGACCTCAATAGAATGTTGGTTTGGTGGAAGGTTAATTGATTTGGCTTAAGCTGGGGGGTCAGTGGAGATTTGGAGGCTGGATGCCTACCCTCGTGAGATCATCCTGATCTCGGGAGCTTTCAAGATTTCGCTCGCTAGTCAGTCTGGAGACTCTCTGTTGA